CTGTAAATGTGACATTTGCGGGAAGTGTTTCAGCCGCCCGTGGCTGTTACAGGGACATATCCGGACACACACCGGGGAAAAGCCGTTCAACTGCAAAGATTGTGGCAAAGCGTTTGCCGACAAATCTAACTTGAGGGCGCACATCCAGACACACAGTAATCTCAAGCCGTACGTCTGTAAGCGCTGCAACAAGGCGTTCGCGCTGAAGAGCTACCTGTACAAGCATGAGGAATCATCATGTAGCCGTGATGACTCCATGTAAACATGAACACGCTATGGCATGAATTATTTATATTATAATGTAGCATTGTGACAATATGCAAGAAATACTTTAACAAGACATGGATCATTTATGCGGAGGAAAGTAACAACAAACACATATAGAAAACAATCGCCGCACAAAACCAGCTCACCCCAATAAAACAAAACCCAATTTCAACTTCGAACGTATTAAATAAATATCCTACCCTCCGGGACGGTGGCTGTAGAACGCCGGTCGAAGAGCCCAAAGTACCGTTTTCTGAGAGTTTTCGGCCTTTGTTTTCGCCGTGATGGTTGCCAGGCGGTGAAAATGCCCGGATGTCCGCCCCTACAGTCATTTGTCTAGGTGATACTAGTAAATGGTTTCACTATACAGTACAGACAATTTGTCCACAACCACAGACCAAAGAAATAATAGGGATGTACAAACCAGGCTAGGAAGCAGAAGAAGGGGGAATTGCTTAGCCCATTTTCCAATTAAAAGCCAAATTTTAGATTGTATTTTGTCTAATTAAATTGGCCGTCCAAGTAACGAAAATTGCATTCTAATGGGACCAATACGAAGCAAAACATAACCTTGTACACAATGTATTGACTTGTTATCATAATGATCACCGTTCTTCGCGTCGCCTGGCTTGATATGCGCCATTTTGTACAAAAGGTATATTTTTTCGTATTTTACCAAGTATTAAGTCAATATACTAATAATATTATAGTATTTACCGCCCAATGATATAATACGTAAATTCAAGCGTTATGGTGTTTTTTGTTTGTTTTGTTATTATTATTGTTCCACCATCCCTCTGAATTCACTTCACGAGAGCAGACTCGACATTGTATATACACATGTACATGTAGTCCCTATCCCTCGAGGAACCATAAGTTTTTTTTGTTGGCGAGTGATACCAACGAGGTATGAAACCATCTACTGCGTAGACAATTTCTCGTGTCGCCTCTAAGTAACGGAATGGAGACGTTTTTGTCATGCTATCGGAGTTTACTTGAAACCAGGGTAGCGCTAACCATCTGTGATGTGGAATGTTATTGTACGTGGAGCCCGGCTTAATTGGCTTATTAGCGAGGACCTAATACCTCCGGTCATTCGACAAAGAGCTTGCTTCTAAGTGGTTGTCGACGTTGTTTCTAAAATTGCCACTGTTGTAATTATTTATATTATGTAAATTAAACATTCTCGTATTTAATGTGCGTCATAATCAGTGGGTCATGTGATTGGTGTTTTCGATGCATACTTATAATAGTGTGCGTGTGTGTGCGAATAGATATACTAGTACGTGTAGTTAGATGAACTGCATGGGGTCCATCTTGTTCAATCCCCCCCCCCAAGAAAAAAAAACACCCCACGCCAGCAATAAAATCGAGCTCGACGGTATCAGTGTATTAAATTGTCTGATACGTACTGGCTTTACTTTTTATGGTCCTTGAATTTGGAACTGAAACAGAACAAAATAAGTCTCAAGGCACGCCTGGGTTTAAGTTGTTGAGGTGCTTCTTTATGTGCCGCCCTCTGTGAACGTGATCGTAGGTTTTATGCAAGGTAGATATTACCATAAAACAATTTAGTCCTTATAAATACCATGGTTACTATATCTTACCATATCACAACGTGCTCTCATTGTTTTCAATTATATGTAGTGTCAGCAACGTATTATAGTTACAGTAACTCTTGTGTGCACGTGTTTGAACATAACGGTCTATATTAGGTGTACATACTATGTTTTTCTATCGGCAAAAAAAAAAACTGTTTCTCTTGATTTGCATACTCCCCTCACAACTATCCCGATTCGACATCTAGGACGTTGAGGGCAGCATTATTGGGTAATACTAGTACTAGTACTAGCTATACAATGAAATCTCGAAAGGTAAAGATCCGATACATGTACTAGCATTCACAGAGTATTGTTGGTTTGATGACGAATGAAATGAAATTACAGTACACGATTCTATTCAAATATATGACAGTAACATAAAGCCCACGCGACGGGTGTATTTAAAAAGCACGCCATTGTAGTAGACATGCTTACGTTCGAAAATTTTAAAGCGCGAGAGTCGTCATCTGCGCATGCGTCAGATGGCCATAGCGTGTCATTGTTTACAAACCCATGAGCCTTTGTGTTTTTAGCGTATTATAACATCGTCGCTTGGGACTCAATTCCTCCTTGTGGAGGGACTGTGGTTGAAAATTGAACACACACGCACACACAAACGTTGGGGGTTTTTTTTTGGCTCTAAAATTGGCATTTTCGTTAAAAAATTGCCAACATTTTGCTAAGTTAGTCAAACATGTTTAAAAAAAGGCCCAAAAATTCGGCTCTGTCGTTAAAATGAGGGTCAAAACAGCGGCGCATAACCTCCGGGTCAAATGTTTTTCTTTGGATTGTTTATCTTGCGACCCCATCTAAAATGTTGGCCCACCGCTGAGCAAATCCGTGGGACGTAGGGGGCGCCCCAAGTAGACCTATATTACTCAACTGTTCATTCAGACCATCGAAGTAATCGACCGGGCATCTCCTTTTCAAGTCTCGCAATTAGCCTCAGTACATATGGTTGAGGTTAACCTAAGTTGTTAAAATGTAGGTTTTTTTCTGTTCGAGGGCGCACTTCACTTCAATGTCGGACTAGTGCGTGAAAGTTTATTGACAAGAACCGGTTACTGTGGATCTGGGCAATTGTCTATTAGGCACGATAAAAGTGACTGTTTTCCTGAGCCATTGTGTAGGAGTTTACCATGTGTGTGTCTGTTTTTGGAGAAAATGTTGTTACTGTGAACAGGGGCGGCGGCATGGGGGTGGGGGGTTTGTTTAGAATCTGCTCAATTTTGAAATCTCGACCAGCTGAAATGCTATTTCCTGTATTTTGAGAGGCAAATTTTGCTGACATACAAGGGTTTCAGGTTGATTGCCCCCACCCCATGCCGTCGCCACTGTCACACGTGGTTTCAAAAAATAATCAATACTTTATTTAATCTTTGAAACCTAATTAACCCAAACGCTAAGAATGTTGTCTATGGAAATTTAATTAGTGGCATGGAAGCTTCAACTTTCTCACGAACGTGATATTCACGTATTTACATCTTCGCCAGCCATGGTTCATTTATTCGATCATCGAGTATGTTTATATCGAGCTCACGAAGCCGCGCGATTCGGACGATGTATTATATATCGGACGATGTATTATTTTCATTAACTTTCACATATGGTAGTACATTTGTATATGAAAATAGAGGGCGCAATTCACCCCACCACTTTCGTAAAATATCTACGTGTAATGTAATGGATTCGCATTGTTCCTGTTATTGTTTGAATAATAGTGATTGTGTCACTCGTTTATTGAATCGACACCGCAGTCAGAGGTGAAACGAATGATTTCGCAGCCAGTGGTGGTAAAAATATGGCAGCATACAGCGGTATGATGATTTCCCGGTCACCTAGCTTGTCACTATCGTTCATACTCACCGTATAATATGCTTGGTGGTATTAAGACACACCCATGTAAACCCCCAACACTAGACAATAATAAACACGTATACGATTAATATCATCACCATATCTAGTCCGTCAGCTCAATGATTCCTTGTCTGCGGCTTGCAAATAGCGGGTCACACTTTCCGCATCGGGGTACCCAGTGATAATTGCCGTGAATTACAGTGGACTGGGCTGATTCCATTCGTATATACGGTGGTCTGCCCATGATACAAATACAGCGAGGTTAAGTGAGCTGTCCCGTAAGGTGATAAATTTTATGAAAGTTGTTATTTTGACACAAATATACATTTCACATGAAATAGATAACGGACCGCTTCATAACTTCATGACAGACGCCAAGCGCAAAACGCGGGGCAAAACGTTGACAAGCCAACGAATAATTTACACATAATTTTCGGGGGGCACATTTTCGGGATTTTAGTTAATATATCAACACAGACCACTGACACTTGTTACAGTGCCGACATATTTGATGCTATAGATTTCAATGATTTATCTCGTAATCCAGCGCCGTGCTGTCCCCGATGAGACTAAATGAGCAATGCGTGCAACATTTAAAAATGCTGTAACCGATGAGTATGTATTCATCGTATACATGCATTGAATATCAATGAATGGTTTTATAACAGCAAACGCTATTGCTTTTGTGCAGTCTTTAGTAACCACGGTAACCAGCTGCGCAACTGCGGCCATTTTTTTTTAAATATTGGTATTCAAAATAAAAGAGAAAAAAATATATAATATTTTATAATAACAAATAATAAGGTAGCGAGAAAATGATTTGCATACTAGTTTTCATGTTTCATTCGTGAACGCTTGTATCTACGTGTGACACGCTCAAATATGAGTAAATTTATTCATCAACCTATGGAACTTATTAACTACTATAGCATCGCGGTAATTCTCTGTCCTCATTCTATCTAGGACGGCACACCATTACCAGTCTGCGGATATACATATAAATACCGTCAGTCTTTTTACAGCGGGTAGGTACCGCGTGCTTTGCCTATAATCGAAGCATTGTCTAATGACACAAATAGCGTGCAACTTATAAATATCGCTAGGTCATTACGGTGTGTCAGATGACATTATACGGAAATAGTTATTTTCGTTATGAACTTGTTTTCGGCAAGCTGTAAAAATAACGGTAAGTCACGTGATTTAGAAATTACATATTCTAATCACGTGGTTAATTGTGACCAATGGCGAAGACGAGTTTCGATCCCGGAATTCAATGCTTTATACGAAGAAGCCGCGATGAAACGGTGTTATTATTCCAGCGTCTACAGGTAGTTGTCAAGTTACACATCGCGATAACACTCCCTGGGATATGCAAATCAGATGCGTGTGTGACCTGAAAATATCGCTTGTTTCACAGTGCTTGATTCGAGTAAAGATACCAGTAGACCGTGTCCTATTTCCGTGTGATCGCAGTACAATGCTCAGAGCTCTCCGACACGACCGATATACAATGTAATTGCGTTTACAGCATGCGCAGCTCTGTGGGACGACACTTGAACTTGATCCCGGTACTGTATTTGTATTTAATACCACAACATCTCACACAAGCAGGTAAGTTAACACGAGATTTGATATATCCAACGCATTGCTACTAACACGGGGGCTGAATGAGAAATTATTTTCATATAATAACAGCAATCGTTATAACTAAATATTAGAAATTCAACCACCACTTTATGTATGTATATTTATTTTAAAGATATACGATGCGATGAAAATATAACAAAGCTATAAATACCATGCAATATTTTTTTTTTTCAATTTAAATGATAATTTCTCCCATACAAATAAACGGTTGCGTGGTGATAAATTACTGCCCAGTGTCGTATATATTGAGTTTGGTACTGTGGATACGTCACATTGATTATCAATCGTACTTCATGTTTACTTATCTGCTGTACTATCGAGTGAAAGTGTCAATACGGGTGTGGTCTGTCACAGCACGCCAACAATCGCAATTACCGGCTAATCATATTTACGTCAAAAGCAAATGTCGAATGTACAATGTACGTCATATATGATAAATACAGCTATAAAAGTGTAAATTAGGATGATGACGTGCACGGGGCAATGGATCTTCCGAATTGTTGCGATACAGGAAATGTTAGGTAAAGTGGGACCGTATGGGGTTTGTTATGTCGAGGAAAACAGCGACGTGAGCAACAATGAAAGTATTGATATACTCAACGACACACGCCAGCCTGTCTTTTGGGCATGGTGCATTGATGGACAGGATGTATGATTTATAGAGAAAACAGTTCCACAATGCTGGGCGTGCGACTGTGACGATGATTTCTCACGGTAAACTACGCCACACACTCTCGGCGTCGGAATCAAACAAACCGCGCGGTTTTATTGTTCAAATTTCTGAAGTCAACTACTATAATGATTGTTGTTAAGGAAACACCACTTATAATTTAATGTTTTATATCACCTGTATTGATTACTATTGTGAATATAATGTATAATGTATTCGTATTGTTGTGGAAATTAAAAACATATAAAATTGTAATGCAGAGATAATGAGTACCGACAGTTATAATAACTCATATTATTTTATAATTAATTACTTCTTTCATAGGCGTTTGTTAAGTATTGATGCGAGCAACTAGTTTATTTATTGACTTGTCATTTGATCGACTTTAATAACGCCGCACTAATCACATAAATGTGATATCAATACGTCTTGATTCCGATATTTTGATTTCTCAGAAGTTTTAAAAAAACGTATGAAAGAAAATCTTTTGAAATGTAACATGGATAATTTATAATTATTTATAATGAAAATATATAAATTTACATCACTCAAATACGGGGAAAAGATCCATTCTGACAATTTTGAATGGTAAGTAGGGAGAGTATTGCTTCATTTCGAAACAGTGGGGCTAGTATCTCCCATTTTGCTACCTTTACCAACTCCGTCATTGTAATCAATACAGATGATATAAAACATTAAACTGTAATTACGTCTTTTTCTTAGTTATGTACTTGTTCAATGAGATTAAAACATCCATGCAAGGATGGATAAGAGAGATATCGTGGATTGTCAATTTTGGGAAAATCCTTGTTGCCAAGAATAATATCATGTTTTGAAAAAAATTGTAAAGGAAGGCAGTCAAAGCACAATCGTTGTATTGTTATTTTTTTTTATATACAATATGCATTTTTAGGAAATTACTAGATTGGAATTATCAATACATGTCATATAGATCTTTGTTTGTGTGCAGTATAGTTGGATTCAGATTTAATTTGAAATTGCGTGTTACAATTATAACAAATGAAAAAGTTTGAACATCAGAGAAATCAATTACGTTGTTACAGTACTCTATATTGCGCGTATTCGCCAGTTTACTTTCAGTAGTTAGCACTGAACGAATATTTCACTATCTATATTTGACGAATCTCAGTAATGAAAACGTTACTTATAATTTAATGTTTTATATCACCTGTCTGTATTGATTACTATTGTGAATATATATAGATGTATTCGTATTGTTGTGGAAATTAAAATATATAAAATTGTAATGCAGAGATAATGAGTACCGACAGTTATAATAACTCATATTATTTTATAATTAATTACTTCCTTCATAGGCGTTTGTTAAGTATTGATGCGACCAACTATTTTATTTAATACTTGGCATTTGATCAACTTTTAGTAATGCCGCACTAATCACGTAAATATGATATAAATACGCCTCGATTTCGAGATTTTGTTTTCAGAAGTTTAAAACAAACGTGTGAAAGAATGTTCTTTTTGAAATGCACTATGGATAATTTATAATTATTTTTATCTACATTACCCGTGACATGGGATAAAAGATAATTTGCAAAGGAAGGCAGTTTATAAAACATCATTGATATGTCAAAGCACAATTGTTTCATCCTCATTTTTTTATTACACAATATGCATTTTTAGGAATTTACTAGATTACAAAACGGAATTACCAAGTAATTTACGTGGATTTCAGTAGGCAACATTTACTGTACTGTGACGTAATCTTAGGGACGGACCTAAATGTCAACAGCCAACCAATTCATCCAGATTAATGGTAACGGAGATTTTTTCACTTGCATGGTATCGATGCATTTATTAAAAAAAATGATCACTTAAAAAGCTATTATCGTATCGACACTGGTGTCACACGCTCCAATAATTCACCAGTGTCTTACAGGATGGCAATGAAATCGATTACTACTCGTAGCGTGCGAAAATGTGTTATTATTGGTTGCAATGTGTAGAATCACTTATGTGTACAGCAAAAACCGTAGAAACATCTAAAGTAATGAAACCAATGATATCCCCAGACGGTGTCCGTTGTTATGGTTACGTATTCGGCGAATTGTAAGATTGAAATTGCGTTATACTGTGAGAAGAAAATTATTCATCAGCCGAAATTAATTTGATATAATTATACTGTCTGTATGCTCTTTTATTAATCATAACGTTATTCATATCACATGCTGCATATTATTATCTACACGATTGCATGAGCCTGAGTACGCCATATTTGTAAAGCGCGGTGTTCGTTGCGCCACGTCTTGTTTGATATGGGACGCATAGCGACGTACACAGCGCGTGTAAAATACATTGTTTATTTACATGAAATTCGAACACGCGCTGCGCGACGACCACCGCCCTTTATTACTATGCTGGTTGTGACAAGCCCTCCTCATCGAAAAATATGTATAACCAAATGATGTCGTAAATTTATAAGTCCAAATGACAAATGGCTGACAAACATTTCACAAGTTATGCCACAATGATTCAAAGCAAACAACTAATATACTTCAAGAGAGAAAGAAATAAAAAAAAACAAATACGCCGCAGTACTTAGTCAAATCAGTAAGAAAAGAACATAATATGGACGTTAAAGCGGGGGAGTCGTCACCTGCGCATGCATCAGATGGCCATAGCGTGTCATTATTTACAAACAAGCGTCTACCCATGAGCCTCTTGCGTCTTTAGCGTGTTTTGTTATCGTCGCTTGAGACTCAATTCCCGCGCGTGCGCAGGTGACGAACCTCCCGCTTAAAACATCAAGTGATTTATACACAAAATCGGGTGACTGTATTTAGAGTAAATTTTGGCAAATGATAGATACAACTAGGATGACCTAGGGTGACATGCGATAAATATCACCTTGAAGTCTCGCGAGAAGTCGCGAAAAGCAAAATAAACTGTGAGGGGAATGGTTTAGTATACGATTAGCAACAGGTGGTTTACTTATATTGTACTTAGCGTATGTTTCCGTGCACGTGAAATCTCGCGTGATTACAGTGACCATGTATAGATATGGTCGATGTAAGCCCTTCTCTAGTATCCGCCTTCGATGCCGGTATAATTTCAGGGATGGGATGTAATATATGTCTACACCTGTGGTCCGCCAGAAAGAGATTACTTGCTTGCTTGCTAACAGCTGGTTCACTAACATTCTTTTTTTTCATCTTAAAAATAATCTCCCCATCTGTTCAGGTACAATTCTGGTAACATAAGGAAGTGGATTTTGTTTTTTTACAGCATGTGACGTGAACTTTGACCCACCGGAGCATGGTTCTTTTAGGAACAACCCTACGTCAGTCGACACCTACGGTGTGCTGTTTATCGAGTGTGACCAGAACTACACGTTGTCAGGACAGTCATCGCTCTTTTGTATGGGCAGTTTCTTTCTCTCACTGAACTTGCCAGACTGTGTTGGTAAGGGTATTTTTTGTTTATTTTGGGCTGCCTTTAAATCAAATAATACGCTTCTCGCGCCGGGCCGTGTTTGATATGGATTCCATGCAATGTCATACACTGAAGTCAACTAAGGCATGTACGTCATATTTTATTTATAAATCGAAATAAGTACGAGCCCGTGCACTGACGTTGGCTTTTGTAACGCGTTCTATTTCATATAATGAAGGTTCGTACTGACCGACCGAGCCAATCGTCTCGTTTATTTTGAACATAAACCATATTGTCTATGCTTTGGATAAAACATATTTCAGTGGAGTTTGTATATTTTTTATAAACACATTCGATTGTAAGTATAAATATACCCGTGTTGTATTGATTATGTGTTTGTAAATCGAACGCGCATTTCACGCCGCGCCAACTATAACGCTTTAATCAACCAAGACTCCCTTATAACAAAATGTTATTTCTCTTACGCCATCCTTTACATAATTATGGCTTATTAATCTGTGATTGGCTCAATTTCTATTTGATCTGAATAACAATATACTCATGTACTCGCGACAGACGATGGTCTAAAAAGGTGACTATTCCAATCAATCAATCAATCAATCGATTAGTCAGCGTGGTGGTGCCCTCTGGTGGTGATATCAGGTCCAAGTTACCAAAGAATTACGCTCGAGTTTAGACTGCTGATCCCGTATTCATTCTTTTTCAGCCAACTGCGCAGATCCTGGCGCACCTGAAGCCGGCAGTCGTTCTCCTGACCCTACCCAGCCACACAATTTGTATAGACATGGTGACGTCATTGATTTTCAATGCGACAGAGGATCCAGTCAGCAGGGGGCGCCCTCTTCCACATGCACGGACGGAGAATGGAACCCTGTAAACGTACCCCCTCCTTGTCAAGGTAGGAAAACTCATTTGTAATATCATCTTTTACGCATACTGTGTTGTCGATTCTTTGCGCCGTTCCACTCGCTATAGCTCTCTCTAGTAACGCCCAGATGCATGTAACCTTTAATTGCGGCCAGCCTTTGGCCGTAAAACCAATCACAGAAGTTCACGTGATCACGTGTGCAACCGTGCTTTCAATCGAACCAATGACCAACGAGCATTATATTTTCCTGAGAACACTCGTAACGTATGTATGCCTCTAAACAGGCATCGAGATATTACCGCCATCGTACCTACGCGTTATTATGATCAGGTATAGTCGGTCGGACACTACACAGAGACTGGCCTACAAATACTGCCTGTTTGCGGTTGTGATGATGGCTTACACGTATTATTAGTAAATATTCACAATCAACAACTTAGAAAAGAAACTACACTTATATATATATATATATATAGAGATAATCTATCGTGTATTCACCGTAGCTGTGCATTTCAAACGCTAACCATTTCTTGATTTCAGCATAGGGATGCGTTTCTTATAGCTATACCGTCATTTCTACTGGGGGAATATCGAAAAATATCTTGTACTGGTGCTTGACAAACTGCTCTGGCAATACTGGCCTAGACAATACCAACATGGATACTACCTCACCCCACATGCATTTAACAGTAGACCACGTGCACGTTTACCCCCTTTATTACATCTCGTCGTGCAGTATAAACTGCGCCCTCTAGCGGCTAAGTAACTATGTGACGTCAAAATGGCGTCTTCCTTTCCTTGTTTACGTCACAGAGTCGCTTCGTCTACATAGGTCGCTATTTATAGAACCACAGTCCCTCTATCCCTCTATAGAGGGACTGTGATAGAACAGTTGTATTATGTTTAACGTGCTATTTACTTTTCAACAGCTGATTGTGGTGACCCTGGTACCCCAGTTAACGGACACCAACTAGAGGGCGGCAGTTATCTACATAACGGCATTGTACAATTTGCATGTGATGCTGGTATATTGGTAGGTTATTCTTCAACCACGTGTAATAACGGCGTATGGAGCCATGTCACGCCCTCATGCGGAAGTAAGTACACTATTATTTTGTTTTCCATGGAATGCGTTGGCACGTATTTTGTATACCTACTATCTAAGTGTTGTCGGCAAAATTTTGTTGAAAGTCCTTTCAATTTTAAGTATATCACATGCAAGTATATAAATAAGTATATAAATAAATAATAAAATTACATTCGTTGGGTCAAAGGTCAAATTTAAGCTTGTATCAAGTTAAATAAATTATGAGCAAAAATAGCAAGGTTATACGTGAGAGTATTAGTATTACTTGACACAATTTTACAACCACGTTATCCATTGTGGAATTGGGTGGTGTATAACCAATTTGGTATATATATATATTGTTCTTCATGGGTTTCATGAAGAGGGCAAGCGAGTATAAAGTGAAATTCCTTCTGTGTTACTAACGAATTACAAAATGCATGTTTCAGCATCCAAACCCTGTGTTCTGCCCTCCTCGGCTGCTAACCCATGACTCGAGCATTTAATCAGTTGTTTCCAACGTTAATTAAATATCTGCGTATCTAGCCTTTGACCCCTGAACCACACCCAACAAAATCAACGGTCGACGACTAATTTGTTATTATTTCTGCTGATTTCAATTTGGTAACTCGCTTTTCACCTTTATTTAGAACTTTTTTCAATAACTTTAACCTGTAGCTGATGCATCTACCAGTTGTAGATAGGGAAACAGGAAAGCTGTCACATTCTCCTAAAGCAGCTACACCAGGAGAGGATGATTCCAAAAACACCTCAAATGAATTCTTTCTAATACCTACTGCGACAAGTAATTGTTGTTTTGACAACGTACATAGCGTCACATATTGCACGTTCTAAATCTGCTTCCGATGATAGCGAACACAGAAAACGGGTCCAGAATGTTTTGAAATGTTTTGTGTGTTGCCTTGACAACCGTCCGTTTCAATAACTCAACAACTATTTTAGAGTCACCATTCTCTCTAAAGTTTTACTAATATGGCCGCCGTTTTTAAAATGGGGGAAATCCCACCATTGCTTGCATGTGCATAGATGGTTCTGTTAAATATTCTCACCATGTAGTCTGAAAGCAGTTTGAACTGACCATCTGACTAATGTGTTTTCGTTCGTCTAAAACTGTTATAGCAATATCGAAATCTCATCCAAACTTCCACTAACCATCTTTTAGTTCATCTATATACATTCTGACCTGCGATAACTGAACGAAGACAATTCCGTTCATGGTTGTGTAGTTAATCATTTATAAGAATATAGTAAAATTGTACTTCTAATAACGGTCTTGGACAACGATACCGTGTAGTCGCAAAGAGGCGCAATTTATTGTAAACCGTGCAGCACGGACATTATAGTCTATTACATTAAGAACGTTGGCTCAAAAACAGATTCACTGACTAGAGGTTGAAAAAAACATTATTTTTTGTCTACTTTGATCTGTTTTACCATTTAAAAAGTTATCAGAAGGAATCACCACGTGTACTGTAGATTATACTAGTAGTTTGTATACTAGTAGGAATGTTTGTTTTCACTCCTTAGCCGTAATTATCCACAGCGTTGTGGTCATGGTAACATCGGGAGGAGACTTGAAAAGCGATGACGTTAATAACATCACCGTTGACGCAATCGTGACGTCAAGCTCTCTTGGGACTGATATCAGCGGCAGTGGGTTGTGGGATATTGAAATCTACCTACAAGACTCCAACGGCGACAACTACACCGTTGACTCGCCGACGCTGAGTTCAGACGAAAGTAATCAGACACTCCTAAGCGGCGGTGAAATAAGGTTCAACGATATAGAGTTTTCGGTTAACGGGAGTGAAATACCATGCTCGGATAGTTTAGAAGTGTGCGTCATTCTGCGAAAGGGAATCTCACCGAATCCCGATTTTGAACTGAGTGGTGTTCAGAATGAAATAAGCTTAACGGGATGCCAGTCTGTAACCTGTGGTAAGTTAGGGGGCACGGTTGTAAAAGTGCGTCTCCATCATTCATATGTGTGTACCCACACAACAAGCCGGTGCAAGTAACAAACGTGTTAATTTTAAATATCTATATTGCGGTGCCATGACGCGGTAATAGGAGTAGAAGCTTTTCACCATTCAAATTCGCCAAAAAAAGGTAAATTTACTCGGACCCGTACCCACTGTGCAATTCTGAATTTCTCAACTACTAACAGAAGATACTGTTGCTGTATGTAATGGCGCATTTCTCTTCTGGTACTTCAGTAGTTAACTCGTATAGTTACCGGTATTATTATCACACACCGTCGAAATAAGTCATACAAAAGTATCTTGTGTTGTAAACAGCGGTATTCTATCGACAGGCACTTGTCAGGATCCCGGTTCGCCGGTGAACGGACGACAGGAAACAGGCGCTAGCTTTGTGAACGGGGGTGTCGTAGAATTTGTATGTGATCTTGGTATACTGGTGGGAACCAATCAAATCACTTGTTACGACGGCGAGTGGAATGACGTCATTCCTTCATGTGCAAGTAAGTTAAAAAAGAAAGAATCCAGAAATGATCTTAATCGGTGTCTTTTAATGCGTAATTCATTCACATATTTTGTATTTCAGTCGTTATAATTAATAACGTCATGGTCACAGTCACATCAAGTAATGAACTCAACGGAAATGGCATCAATGACGTGTTTCTCAATATTGCTGCGACGTCAAGCATTCTTGGGTCTGACGTCACAGGTACTGATCTCTGGGGGCTTGAAGTGTTTCTACAAAACACCGAAGGTGACATGAACGTGCCGTTTGTACCACAACTGACGTCAGAGGAGGCCGGCCAGAGGCTTTCCCCCGGGGACCAGATACTGTTTAATGGCATTCAGTATACAGTTGATGGTAGCCAGATACCATGTGACGAAACCTTAGAAGTTTGCGTAACTCTGAAAAAGGGAAATTCACCGAGTCCGAATTTTGTGCTCAGCGGTGATCCCGACGATGAGGCACTCACCGGGTGTCAATCTATGTCCTGCGGTGAGTAACTGTTGTGTTTTGTGTAATAAGTATTGTTGTTTAACCAAGTTCTACAAACCAAACAGAAATTTTTCTTGACAATTCACAAAATGAGACGCCCACCGGAAATTCGGATCTCCAAATTCTGTACTGAATTATTTAATTTATACAAAAAGTTATTTCCACAATAAAATATAAATATTCAAAAAAACAGGATCTTTCACCAAATTTGACTGAACATTATCCGTCATTCAATTTGAAAATAAGGTTCAGTTGACCAGAAGTTCTGTCCATAGATTAGGGTGACCCTGTGCGAAGAAAAGTGACTACATTAAAATTCTGATAAATAAACGAAAGAGATTTTTATAAATTTCAAGTTTCTCAACAAGTTTCCACCTTGTTACGTATGACGATGCTTACGTAAGTACAAACAAACAACTCTCCCTATCTGAGCTAACATCTTTTGCTTGGCGGCAGACGACAGTTTCAACGAATGTCAATTACATGTATGGCTACTTGTAAACATTACAGATGTCGACGAGTGTCAGGACCCAGACATCTGTCCGCCACCAAACCACGTCTGCGAAAATGTACCCGGCACTTTCTATTGCCGATGCGCGGGAGGATACAGTGGTGAAGACTGCCACGTCACCGATAACTGTGTGCCGGTAAACCCATGCCAGAACGAGGGCAACTGTACGTCATCACTGAATTCATACCAGTGTCAATGCGCCTCTGGGTTCGGAGGAATTGACTGCGGTGAGGAAATTGATTATTGCGACCCCAATCCTTGCCAGAACGCCTCCATCTGCAAGAATTCGACATTTGGTTACAAATGTGAGTGCCGTTTGGGTTTCGAAGGAGATGTTTGCAACGAGACAGGTAAGACCATTAATTTTGGAAAGGACTGGTGAAAAAATAGTAAAACAAATTCCAGCGACTTTTTAAAAAAAAAAAATGGATTAAAACGGGGGAGTGGTCACCTGCGCATGCGCCAGGTGTCCATAGCGTCTCATTGTTTATATGCAAGTGTCTACCCATGAGCCTTTGTGTTTTTAGCGTGTGTTGTTATCGTCGCTTGGGACTCAATTCCCGCGCCTGCGCAGGTGACGACCCTCCCGCTTTAAACTGCACTAAAATGTCATTTATTGTAAAAGATAGTCGAAACAACATATTTTTCTGCGAGTAACATTGGAATTTCTTCTGACTGAGGACGTATATAAATTGTTACAGTAAATAATATATTACTCATTCTTAGTGCCTTACTTCACCGTATGTCCAGAAGGGGAAACTCGGGTGTACACCCTGGAGGCCAATTCGACACACGCGTACGTCAATATCACCCTCGCTGCTGAAGACTGGCTACAGAGAAACTTGACAGTCGAAAGCGTTGGCCACGACGTAACTCTTCCTGGAACAGTTGAGTTTTCGATGGATTTTCGGCACGGGAGAGAAGTCTGGTTCCGAGCAACTGATGAAAATAGAAATATCGCCTACTGTGTGTTTATGCTACAACTAATTGGTGAGTCGAATTTCGATATCGTTGCGTTCATAAAATCTACTTCTAACGGGTTGTCCGTGAGTCATAACCTCCCTCATGACACAATGAACTTTCGTTTTAACCGGATTAAGATGTTTTGACTGTTTTTTTACAGATGCCGAGCCCCCAGATATCACATGCCCGGTCAACGTCTTCCTGACGACGACCAGAACAAGCGATGCGGCAGTTTGGCCTCTGGCAACAGCTCACGACAACATCGGGCTCCATCCCATAAAACCAATCACGTACAACAGACAGAATGGATCCGAGTTGTTTGCTGGTGAACAGCGCCACCATGTGACGGCAACTGCGACGGATTCTTCTGAGAACACAGCCTCTTGTAATTTCACGGTCAGTTTGAGGAAAACAGGTGAGCAAATAATCTTAGCGGCAGATTTTACTTTGATTTCTTTCTTAATTTAACATATACAAAAACGAGTCAGATGAAGAATCACCATGCAATGTACATTGCCAACAACAAACTTCCAGTTGAGCTAACCAGTGATTCCTGCAAACTATATCAACCAATCACAAAACAGCAAACACCACACCACTCTTCATTTCTTCCTTTTTTTTCAGAAGAACCGCCGAAAACATCGCCACTAACAGCCATCATAGCAGGCAGCATTCTCGGCATTGTCGCCCTCATTATAATCGTTGTTTTTATCAGTGTCTTGATATGCCATCGTAGAACAGCTCACGATGACAGCAAGGCGTATATGCATGACAGATCTCGCCATTTTCAGGACCAGATTGACATGAAGGCACAAAACAGAAGTAATTATTACGGTCAGGGACAACAACAGACTTCTCACAATGGCACATTCGACAACCCAACAATTGACATTCACCGGTGAGGACACGAATAAACTGGTTCTACGTCATTTAGCATCGGTGGTCTGCATAGATCTAATGATATCGTATATCATGCACTATTTCATATCAAGATCGTGCCTGATGTACAAAAAAAAAATACATCCGGGATTTCGGTTCCGAATATCATTATGCAAGAAACAAATGTTAATTAACATCACGTGACGTTAACAACCAATCATTTCTTTACATACAGGTAATGTATGTGCATAAATTACTGCATGACACAGTTATGGCCAGCACTAAGAAATAGACACATCTATATAATACACTTCTTCTCTCTGTCGGCGCCTGGCTTCAAAACTAACGACGGCGGGGGGGGGGGGGACACAGTTACTAATCGGCAATTGTATCATCGCTTTTAAAAGACGGTGACAAAAAGATACAATTGTAATTGCCCTATCAGCTGGATTATCGGAAATCAAAGTAATGTCTATTTGCATATTTTATGCCACGAGTTATTTTGTCCGCGTACGTCACCAACCGCCATTTCCGCACATCCATATCCAGCTATCGATCTCCTCGCCATGACTTGGCAGGTAAATGTTGAAGCACCTTGAAATTCAGAAAATGTGGGTAGATATGAGCTGACGACCATTCTTCTTGGAAATAAACTTCGAATGAGCCTAATTGTTGGTGACTTGGAAAGAAGCTACAAGTTGCTAACATAATCGGACATAATATCGCGCGCATCGGAATCCGCAAATGAAACATTCAGTTTTTGGCAAAATTATAATCCGAAAGTCATTTTTTTTTACAATTTTTATATTGGCTCCCATGGTTAAAGAGTGAAATATAAGATATATTGTCACATACATAATTTTCGATATTTATTGCAATACTTACGTTTGTATTATTTTAAGTTTCGGAAAATGTGTGTAATTTGTTTACTAGCTCTCATAATAGTAGAACTTTTTGCATGTTCTTGATTTCAATCACCATTAGGCCAAAAAAAACCTTATGTTGCCCTCAAGTCGAAAAATTGATAAATTAGGTCTGTCGGTCGGATTTTTTTTTTAAATTTGTGAAAACTAAGAGTATCGTAAATAGCCAAGGTATATGGACTTCATAGTATTCGGAACATGTCTGAGAAATACAGATCAACCCGAGGTTCAAAATCGCCACTTACGGGGACTCTGGGGATCAAACAACGGTCCGGGATCCTTAATTTTTAGAGGAAACATTTTTTTACTGTTCCAATGGTGAGTTTTCAATATTTGGGCCTATTAAAAAAAAAAACGCGACCCAATATTTCATATTTTTTGGTCGGTCGCTGAGGGCAACAAAACAATTTTTTGGCCTTATACTGATTAAAATAACATTTACGAGCTTGTTAAGAGCCCAGTGCATATTTAGTTGGTTTTGAGTTATCTCAGAAAGTGTTTTAGGCAAACGGTTGTAGTGCGTATACATGGCCAATCATCGGAAAATATACCCTTATTGAGATTTATTTAAATTTTATTTAAACTTCAATTTTATGCCAATTTTATGTCTAAATAGGATTAAACTGATGAAACACAATGTCTGACTACAGTTCAAATACATTGTTTCGCCCTGGTAATTCATATATAATATTTAGACATTGGTGACCCATTTGACGGTGGAGATAATTGGTCAATTGCATGCTTTTTATCACACTACTATAGCAGGGATTATTTTTTTCATGTAAGAGGTTTTTTTTCGAAATTCTGTTGAGAGAGCCTTTTTTTACTATTGAGTCTGGGTTGTTTTTCCTTGATTTCAGTCCAATCAATTTTCCCCCACATCCTTCATCCCAGATTTCAGATGGGTTACCTCTTATGACAAATATTAACAACAAACTATTTTATAATTTTTGTAAACTTATAAATTGTACATATCATATACTGTGGATGTGCCAGTGTACATGTATTCATTATCTACTTAATAATATTATAATGGACCATTTTATATTCTGTTTATGATTATATCAAATATCATCATTGTTATCACTGTGAAATTACGTCATTGTGAATGCATGATGGGTAATGAGAACATAAATATTCATGTACATGTATCTATAAATATATTCCCCTATATGTTCTCTTGTTTACTTTGGGAAATATTGCTACAGCTGTTAAATAAAGGTTATGTTGATTTCGTTTAAAGTCATTTATTTGTTTGTTGTGTGTGTGTGTGTGTGGGGGGGGGTGATTTGAGTGAACAAAACTACTAAAAGAGAAACAGTTACACAAGCAATATATTTCATGTCAAAAATGCAAATAGCGTCACTGAATGATGTCTCAGTCGCAAACTCTTTCAACGAGGCAGATCGGTAGCATATATTAAAATGACCTCTAAAATAGAAACGAAAACGTAGAAGTAGATGTTGCCTAGTTACCCACACATCTACGTTTGTGACGTCATCCGATTTTCTCATCCGCTTTGATGGCGTCGCAACTTATGTATCGAAAAACGATGCCCGTGGCCCAGTATTCGTGTAAATTTCTTGACATGGGGTTGCCCGGCCTCGGGATTTGTGAAAGTTTCGAATGGGACTTTTGGAATTCATTGCGGGTATTATTTTGAGTGACATCGAAAGTACTTCTTGTGAATGCGCACAATATCAAATTAATTTGCAATATACGATCTATTGTCTATAGGTTAATCTGATTTTTGTTTTTGTGAATTGCGTTTACAACATAGTATACACATCAAAAAGAAAAACATTTTAACCAGAATAAACACCGTGATAAGTGCAATGAATAAAAAAGCGAAAACATCCATCAAGAAATACTGGGAGAAATTTAAATTGAATGCTTCTGCCCTGAGATGTTGTCCGCCATGTTTGATCACATGTTCGATCCAGAATACGGCCGTATCGCTGGCAGACATTGGTTTATCTCTGTGTATGCGGGATATCTTCTCAGCGTTCGCTTTGTATCTAGAAATGAAGAGAACAATTACGGATAAAACTAACATGAATCGCCAGTAATACAAAATTCGTCCACTTTTTTCGCGTAGTTACGGGCAGTAGCCATTATGTTGTCACTCGCTCCTGGAAGGTTTGGTGGAGGTCTGTTTGCTACAATTTCAAACCTCAAACTGTATGGTTAATGGATGTGTCGTGACAAATTTTACTGAAAATATCTCCGAAGGAAAATTCGGCAACAAAATCTGTTTCTGTACCTTGTGTTCGTGATAACTTTAATGATAGCATCAAAAAGTCCATCAGATGTTAATGTCCCAATCTCAACCGTCTCAACCATGCCTTTACTTCGTAGTCTGGCAAAGTTATCAAAATGATCGTCATAGATAGGTATTCCCACCATGGGCACCCCGTGATAGACCGCCTCGTAGATACCGTTCAACCCACCATGGGCGACGAACACCTTCGTATTGGGATGACCTGCGAGAAAAGTGAGATACAGTTTGAATTTTCTAGTTCAACCAAGTTTATTTACTAGTAATTCATCTATCTATTATGTATATGCCAAACATGAGGTTTATGAGGAATAATTTAACTTTGAGAATGACGCCAGATACCGATAAACTACAGAGTTTCATTACTATAGCACTAGAGGGCGTTCTCCAAACTAATCAAATTGTATTAGACAACCTATCGAGAGACCAGATACAGCTAAACACTATCCCAGGTCTCACACTACAATTAAAATAAAAGACAATAGAAAAACTTTGAAAAAAACAGGGTAATTTTACGTATACATACAGCCAATGTAAGTGAGTCATCGATAATGAACGTCGCAAAATGAAGCCAACTCAACACACTTGTATTAGTAATATTAGACAATTGTCCCAGCCGACTACTCACTCTAAATATACCAGTCCGCCATTTCATAACAGTTGGTTTTCGATAAAACTGTATTTAAAAATTGTCAAAGTGAATCCTGTGTCCGGTTTAAATTATCAATCCGCATAACTGTGCAACGTACCTAGTAAATCATTCTGCGGTATCCATTTAGACAGCTTGGTGTTATTTCCCAACGTTGATGGCGGTGTTCCGTCGTATTTTATGGCAACTTTTTGAGACAGCCTGGCAAGAGCGCTGAAAACGATCTCTGATTTTACGCTATTATGAGACAGATCAATCAACGAACCGAAAGAGAAGACAACCAATCCAATATCAGCAGCTGATCTAACGAATTCCTCCCATTCCTGGAAGAACAATAAATGTGATTACTGTTATATATTGTTACTTCCCTAATATCATAACACACCTAACTCCTAGTGTTTCGTCGTACAGGAAATATTAACCTACATGTACCAAGTCATAATAATAATAATCACACTACTTACTTCAGCTAATGGTGTTGCTGGTTTGGCCAACAAACCACCAATACGTACGGTGTTCGGCATCATAGGGCAAGGGAAATCCACGTCCCAGTCCATTCCGAAGATGGTTAGTTGAGATTTACTGAGCGATTCCACGATGCTCACATCGCGGTCGATGTCACATTCCTGTTTTAATCTATTATACGGTGGCAGCAATAATAAGTTAACAGCAAGATGCACGACAGCGTGGTTGACAACGTTCGTTAGTCTCTCCCAGAGGGTCATTCTGTCTGTTAACCCGGAAACAAAACCAGGAACGTACGACAGAGGCGTCGGCATGTTCAGCAGGTAAGTGTCGAATGACGGGAGTGGGCGATTGGTAGACACCGTTATGAACGGTAGGGAGAGTTTATCAGCGATGAGAGCGCGACAGGGTGTCACATTATCCCCTATCACTATGTCGAATTTAGATTGCTCCAGGCGTTGCATCAAATCAGCGTCTAGTAGTACGGTTCTACAATCTGTAAACATTGCGTCGTTAAGTAACGACGTGGCACGTTGAAAATACATGTTTCCCTGCAGCAATTCGTTCATGGCGTCCCAAACCCTTAAAAACATATCTTCGTCCATCGCACTGTGGTACTTCTCAACTGTGAAGACGTTTCCATGCCCAAATGTCTTATTCAAATCGTTGTGGTTCTCCGCGACAAGCAGGGTCACCGAATGACCTTTTCTCGTCAGATGCTCGCCTATTTTCGACAGATACAGGAAATGGCTACCGACTGACATAGCTAAAACAGTCAGTATATTGTAGGCTGAGATGTTGGTTACAAACAGGGCCAATAAAGCGAAACACATTCGAACTGCCATAACTACATATGTATATGTCAGTATATGATATACACCTTGCTAATCACGGGCGACCTACGACCTGTCTATATGCAAATAATCACACCGTGTGGCGGCGTTCACCAAACAGTCGCAAAAACGAGCGAAAAAAAGATTGGGCGAGATGAGTACTGCACGTTGGATAGATTGGCGAGGTCGTAACGTAAATATACACAGGCGAGGCTGACTTCAATATGGCCCCACCGTGGGAAAATTTCTGATTACGTGATGGGGTGACGCCGCAAGCGGCCGTTTATCTCGAAAGTGAGCTATTCGAACTATTCAGTCACCTATAACCACTAACAAGTTGAAATGTCGATAAACTATGCATATGATCTTTGACCGCAGATTGCCCTGACCTGACAATTCCGTTTTGTATCTGGCTGCACCTACTAAATCAATGTTAAATTAATAATAGTTTCAGTAAGGGCTTTCACGGACGTAGCACGTCTGTAGGGCCACTTCACATTTTTCTGCTACCATAAGTGTCCTTATAGACAAACGCCGGTCTTCACTATACTCTTATACCATTTAATAAATTCTATTATACTTCATTCATTCAATAATGATTGATGAGCCAGAGATGCGGCAGCTTTATTTACAGACGTGGATAGAAAAAGAAATTATTACATGACACGTTATACCAGGGTGGGCTGTTACTTGTTGTGATCTCCCCGTTATCCTATGTCCGCCACCCAGGAAAAACCAGAGATAAAAACCCTATACTTTATATTGCGGGATATTCTCTGGAAACCTGTGTCCGAAAGCAATGCAGCACATAGAACAGGGACAGTGTCAGACTGCACTGTTATCACATAAGGGCAAAGCTAAGTGAACTTTTAAAATTAATATTTGATGTAATTGAACTTGAACATCTGTGAGCTGCTGAGTTGCTGACTAGACTGACTAACTTCCTACTGCTTCCAGCTATTCCCTATCTGATTGCCCCACCCATCTCATCAATTACTGTCACCGTAACATTGAAGACAGTATTTTCCCTCTATACTATCGAACCGAGGGAAAAAATATGTCTTTACTATACTCTTATACCATTGAATAAATTCCATTACACTTCATTCATTCAATAATGATGGATGAGCCAGAGATGCGGCAGCTTTAGACTCCACTAAAGAAAGGGGAAGTGAAAATATCTGATTACAGACCAAGGTTTTTGGATACAAGCAGTCGCAATGATCCCGGGACCCGCCGTAGGCGGCAGTATTTTCATTCCAGGTCAATTTTGGATCACCAGGTCATTCCTAAACGCGTAATTAGGACTGAGTCGAGAATCAATTTTGTACGGTGGCCCACAAGTGTCACATTAATTTCAATGTCCAACAACACAAATTTAATTTTCACAACACAACTTTAATTTTCACAACACAAATTTAATTTCTCACAACACAACTTTAATTTCTCAAAACACAACTTTAATTTACACCACACAATTTTATTTTCTCGCAACACAATTTTAATTTCTCGCAACACAATTTTAATTTTCACAACACAACTTTAATTTTTCACAACACAACTTTAATTTCTCACAACACAACTTTAATTTCTCACAACACAAATTTAATTTCTCACAACACAACTTTAATTGCTCACAACACAAATTTAATTTCTCACAACACAACTTTTATTTCTCGCAACAACTTTTTTAAATCATCAGAAC